ATTTAGTGCTATGCAGAGATTTACTAAATGTTTTAAATTTTCCAGGCAAATTTGCCTGGAATACAGATTAAGGGATAATAAAACAATCGATAATCTTATAATCGCGATTTTGCAATCGTTATAATTCAAATGGTCATAGTACCTTGTGGTGCAGTAATCCCGCGATCACATTTTTTCAGCCATCAATAGATTTGGGCCCTTATGTAATATTGTTTAAAAATTAGGTAATTATATGTGATTATTTTTAATTTGTGCCCGTATTTGTAATTATTTTCACTTTCCGGGCCTTATATGTAAATTTCCCTAATAATTATGTAAGACGTAATAGTAGGTTAGTGATGCGTGCACTTATTTGTGCGAGTGATACAAATCCAAAAAGGAAAATTAGCCAATCGGAAAACGTAAATGTGATTATCCCGTATTAGCGCGCGATGCATGAGTAAAGCGATGAAAAACACGAAAAATGAAAGAAGCGAAAATACAAGAAACCGGTGTTTAAACCTGTCTTGAGACACTAATAAAAAATAACGGGGAAGGAAATTTTACATTATAGCATTTAACTTTAACATTCTAACCCTAAATTTTTAATTTCACGAACTTGGTTTACTTTACGTTGAATTTCCTTTTTACTCCCACAAATAAGTATTTCCGGATAGCGGATGACCAAAAATTTTACCATTTCGTGTGACCCGAATTTCGGATTTCGATCCGATGATTCAAATTCGGACATCGGATCGGACCTGCGAAGCACTAATGCAAGCTTAATACAAGCTAACTAATATTAGCATAATTAATTAAGTCCGGAAACTCGGATTACACGAAAAATGGTAGATATCACTAACCTACTATATAGACATTTTTTACCATGACTAATCAATCCACTTCGGTAAATTTAACGATTTTGCCGATCTATGCATAAAATCTGCACTACTAGTTTTTTATTACAATACTTTACCGTTACATAGATTTGATTAATACCGAAAGCCCCATAAGCTGCTGGGAAACAGATCATCCCCATATGCAGGTCTACCGAAAAAAATTGCAATCAACTATAAATATCAATCGAAACGCAATTAATGACAAAATAATTGCAATCGGGTTTACTGTACTAATTTTCCCACCATTTCACTATCGGAGCATCATAAAATTGATTAATAACATAGATACTCAAATAAGTAAATCAAAAGTAAAAGTGATGAGAAAATTAGTAAACCTCAATTGATTAATAATTATATGGGCATGCCTACCGAATAATTGATTGTTGGCGCTGCCACAATGAAATTTAATTGTTATTAATAGCAATTATTTCGTGGGTCTCAATTGATAATTTTAGTCTATACGTAGTATAACTTCTTGATGCATAAGTTGAATTTGATATAATCATTGGTATAATGAAAACAGATCAAATTTATTCCAAATTTCATGATATAAAATGGTGCGAAGTTTCTATTGGGGCCGAAATATATATATTTTTTTCAGTTTACTATTATCATAAAGTCTCTTCGTGTTAAATATTTATTAAAACATAAAAAAAAAAATCAAAATTCAAGATGTCATCTCAACAACCTTTGGTAGTCGTTAGTGGAGCTACTGGTAATACATTTTGATAAAATAATAATTCATAAAAATTAAGAACATTAACGTTAATTAATGCTACATTGACTTCTTTTACATATTCTAGGTGTTCAAGGTATTATTTACTTGTGTTCGCCTAAAACGTAACAATATTTTAATAATAAACTTACGAATAACATTCGTTTTTTTTGAATCGTATATACACAGGAGGATCTGTCGTCAATGCTCTCCTTGCATCGGGAAAACATAGAGTCCGTGCTCTTACACGTAGGCCTGAATCTGATCAAGCAAAAGCTCTTGCTGCAAAGGGGGCCGATGTTTTCAAAGCTGACCTTTCCAATAGAGAAGATGTTAAGAATGCGCTTAATGGCGCTGATATCGCATTTATTGCCACCAATTTCTGGGATCCGGTAACTAGGAAATCTTAATTCATTAATTATATAATAATTACTATCTGATAACCACCATAATTATTATATTAGTCTATTTTCCCAAATAATATGGCTGGAGAAGAAAGGCAAGGTAAAATGATTGCCGACGTTGCTAAAGAGGTTGGATTGAATTGGCTTTTTTATAGGTATGCTATGTTATTAAATAAATATTTTCTACTCCACGGGACTGATCTTACTTATTATCTATATTAAGTTCTCTTCCTGATACTCCCAATTACAAAATCGTACAGTTTTACGGTAAGAAATGCCAATTTATTATTATATCGTCTCTATAAGATATTAATATCTTTAGATACATATATAGGTAAAAATCGGGTTGAAAAATACATTAGCACTTTGGGTATTCTGAACGTCACAATTGTCTACGTTGGTTTCTATGCCTCGAATCTTGGTCAATTGTATCCCGTTGTGACAAAAGATGATGGAACATCTGATTTTATTATTCCAATGGTCAAAGAAGACACCCCTATTGAGATTATTGACGCTGAAACCGACACTGGCGTAAGTGATTATATTACCATATACATTAACAGACTTTACAGAAACAATAATTTATATAAATGTTCTCAGGCCATTGTAGCCAAAGTTATTGAAGAAGGACCAGAAAAGTGGAATGGAAAGAAAATTCCTGTTGTTTCGGAACGCATTTCTTTTGGAAAAATTGCCGAAATATTGACTAAGGGTAAGTTTCTAATATTTTTTTTTATCTATTTAATTCTTAAATGCTAAATTTATTTATTTATTTTTTTTATTTGCGAAACTATCAGTTACTGGAAGACA